CTTTCTAAAAGAAAAAATTTATATAGTAGAAGTTAGTAATTTTTGTAAAACTTACCTCTTCTGTACTCTGTAAAGAGCTCTTGAACTTGTTTTTGTAAGTTGTTTAGTTATAAAGGTGATTTCTCTTGTTTTTTTTTTGGCTGGTTTCTCTTTTTCTCAAAAAATTATCAAAAAAGAAAATTTTTTGAAAATTTAGGGATCAGCGGAAAGAGTTTTTTTTTAAAAAAAAAAAGCTTTAAATAACAATGATATTTAATTTATATTGTATACAAAAAATTAATAGCTAATAAAATTAATTATATTAAATGATTAAAAAAATTGATTTAAAAAATATTGAAAATATATTTTATAGATTAACAAATGCTCTTTCAGTACTGACTCAAATAGAAAGATCCATATTTAATGTAATAAAGAATGATCCAAGTTTACTTAAGAAACTGTTAAAAGTAGTTAATGATCTGAGGATATACTGTATAAATTGATCTAATCTATCATTTATTTCATGCTACATTATGTATGAATAATAAAAAGTATACAAATGAATTAGAAGAGGTGGTTACTGTGGGGTGAAATAATATTTCATTTGAAAAAATAATTGAATTTATAGATACTATGCCTGAACGTATTAAAGATGTATTAAAAAAAAGGATATTAGATTTACAAAAATCGACCTAATCATGTGTAACCCCCTCTGTATGTATTTTGTATATTTCGCATTGAAGTAATAATCAAGGAGATCCTAGCAGCGAAAGAACAATGCGTTTCAAATATATGCGGAAACGTCGCCACAATGTCACGGGATTACAAATGCAATCGCAATTGAGAATTGATAATTGGTCACACGGTATCCCATCGCTGGATACATGAGCATAGTCGACAAATTCAGTGCCTTTTCACAATAAACGACGCAAATTTTCTTTAATGAAGTGACATGAGATCTTGAGCTGAAATACAAGATAAAAGAAAAACGTATAATCTGTCAAACCATTGAAACCGACCAAGGCCTTCTTTAGAGGAATCAAGAAAAAAAGAAACAAAATTCATCGATTTCGGAGCTTTCGGTGTAAAGAAAATAGACACGCGCTTAGATGTTACTTCTATGAACAAAAAATGGGGTAAAGTCATTAATAAAATTCCAAAGCAAGTCAAGTTCTGCGACATACCCAAGAATATGGGAGGCTTCAGTTGCAATGAGCTTATAGGCTTCTTTAACATGCCTCGCCTCTCGCGACCAATGATAACTTGCAATGCTAGAAACTTTTGCGTGAGAGAGGAGGGTTGTGCTTCTTGCGTTTGCCATTCGAGTGCATGAAAGCCGATAAGCAAGGAAAGCGGTGTTGAACATTGAACGACGTCTACGAGCTCTCATAATCTCAACGAGATCTTGTGCCACAATATCAGGAGGAAACGGTGGTCTGAAGGGAGGATTCAATCGAGTCATAATTTCTTAATAACAGATGAATACCATTAGAAGACAAAGTTTTCTCTATCTATCTTTTTTTTTTTTTGAAAAAAAATAACGCAGAAGGAATAATAAAAGTAGATTTAAAGATAAATTTCCGAGAGGAACTCATACCACCCAATATCTTTATTGGTCGACGAATAAGAAGATATCTAGAAATTTTTTTATATGCACGTCAAGGTTGCCGACATCGTCTGGTCCAGGATGCAAACGATTAATATAAATGCATTTTCCATTGTTTTTTTTTTTCTTACGTCCGGGCAATCATTCATTGGATGAACGATTAAACATTTTTTCGTCATGCGCACTTCACGACGATTCATCCACTCACAAGCAAAGACAGTAAAGCAGAAGATCTTTGCTTGCATACATATTTTATACCAAATTAAAGTTTGAAACCTCCTCGACCTTTAATCGACACTCCCACTTTCCGAATTTGCTACAAATTATCATAAAAACCATTGTCTTTTACCAACGGGACAACATCAAAAAGATTATTATCTCACTACCAGTGGTGTGCGTAAGTATGCAAGGACATAAGAAGCTTAGATCCTCTTACTTTTCTGCAATTCAACTTCCCATATTAATATAATCACATGATATTTGACAACAAAAAAGTAAACCATTTTTCTTTCCCCACATGTGATCCTACCGCTTAACTTTTAAACACTAGGCGTTTCTCGTAGAATCGAAGCAACTGCGAAGAATATTTTCAAATGTTGCGATTAGTCAGATTTCAAGCACGAGAACACACGTACAAACAAATGCAACGGATATGGTATACATTTATTTTGCACCATATATTGTTCTATACCTTGCGAGGACATCTTTTGTGCACCTCTTTGACTCCATGATAACTGTTTGTGCCACCACTCCTATACATGATTCTAATGTGAGGACCTAACTGTAATCTTGTATCATTTAAAAAATATCAAAAACTTTCGAACCAATTTATCCAAACCACAAGTTCGCCAGTATCATCATCGACAAAAACATTTCCAATCGTGGCGTTTGTTTCCCAATCATCTTGAGAAACTTGCCGTTGATTTCCGGTTGGATCGTCGTCGATCGTTTGAGGATTTTGGCGATCGTCCACCTGCAACTCGGCAACACCGCGAATCCATCGAGGCACGTCTTGAGATGAATCCAAAAGGGCTTCATTGATGTCTCCGACGCTAAAAGAGGTAATGTCATTGTTCAAAGAAATTGTGACGCTTTGGTCCTCACCGGTAACGACGCTGTTGTTCGCGGATCTCGATTCCGAATTCTCGGGTTCGCGTTTCTTCCGACGATCTTCCCAATAATTTTTAATCAGTTCTGTGGCATAACTGTTATTGTGATGGTAGTATTGGTGGTAGTTTAGTTATTTTATTTACGGAACAGTTAGTCTTTTTGTAATTATCGAAAAGAGTTACGATATGAGTTAAGAAAAAGAAATTGTACACGTCATTTGCATCTTCCCAACTGTTTTGCTCAGGACCAAAACCTTCCCATTTGATTAAGTATTGCAGGAGACCCTTGAATCGAATGAGTCATCTTGAGAAACTATTGTACGCATGAAAAAATTCCAAAGAGGGAACAGAACATAATATTTACGTCTTTCTTTCTCCTATGCGAAACTATTCGTTCAACAACAAAAACATCCTCGCTCTCAATCGGCTGTGCGGGATCAAAGGTTACTGTTCCCTCTAGTACTTGCATGGAATCAAACGATCCATCCAAGGACATCTGAACGCCGGCATCAGTTTCAGAGTTCATTTAATGTTTTCAAATAAAATGAGCAAGGCTCCAAGGCATATTATATATAACTGATTTATTGATATTCTTATCAATTACATATCCTTATTACATACTTAATCCAAATAAACTAAGGCTAGCCAGCTAAAAAAAATATATATATATATCCTTATTACATATCTTAATGATTGTATGTACATACATTATATGATGAATCATAGGAAATGACTCATTCCTTATGGGGGGAAGAATCTCGAAAAATGATGTGAAATAAAGGGAGAGTGTATTAAGAACGTGTCACGGGAAATACGAGAGTATCGAAAAAGATGCAATAATTACTATAGTAAGTCGGAAATCGAATTGGGGAAATAAGAGAAAATAGTACGGTATTGGTGAAATCCGAGACTAAACGAAAAAAAAAAACCCCCCGAATCACGATGAACGTCTTCTGTGGGAACAGATGAATTCCTGGAACGTCAATTTATTTTTTACTTCTTCGGGCGTGGTGTTTATAAATATGTCCTCATCTACTTTCTTTCTTCTCTTTTTTGTTTGAACGTAATCTGGGTTCTCCAATTTATAAAGTTCTCTTTTTATCCTCGCGTACTCTATAAAAGAATGGTGCTGATTATTTTGTTTCAACAGTTTCCATAATTCGGCAGATTTCTTTGTGCCGATTTTGCCATCGATGGTCGAGTCTTTATTCTTCAATTTCGGAAATTGCAGCTTGTAAAACTCGATATACGGATTGCACGGTTTCTCTGGTTTTTTTGTACATTGTTTCTTTCGTGATTTTGGCATTTTTTTTTGCGAACGAACGACGGAGAAAATCGCGGAAGTCTCGGTTGCTCTTTCGAATTTGAGAGCGAGAGAATTATTCTTGTGGATTTAAGACAGCATATTTATACCTTAGAGAAATGACACCCGGATTCAAGTGAGGTTCACTCCCGCGAAATTTTTAGCTGCGTACTGTATATTTCAATGTCGCGAACAAGCAAAAAGCATCGATACATCAGACTTAACCTCAAAAAGGAAATTACAGAGCCAACGCATAGATCCACAAACTTCCGGATTCGGTGATCCTGTTAACGGTCGTGACCTTGCTCAACTCCGAAGTATAACCAAATTATGGTGAAATCAAACGAACGATTTTTATGTTTTAACACAATTTTTATTTGCACAGTCATAGTCACGTAAGATCTCGCCATAAAAGGGATTAGAGGGAAAAATATGAATATTATAACAAAAGCGCCACACTCGCATCATTGTTCCTTAAAAATGTGATCGACGACATATTTGTACTTTAATATTTGACGTTTATGCAGGAGGATGCTCCTCTTTGGATCTATTTTCGTTCTCGCTGCTGTTATGTAACTTTAGCGCTACACAGATCAATGCTAACCGATTTCCGACCCATCCATCAATTAATAATGCACTAATGTGGCATGGCAAAAATAGACATTTCTCCGACCTTGTTACCTTTATGATAATGATAAATAAATCAATCCTAATTTTGTCTCTTCCGGCCCACATCGGATGGTTTCCCTCGTTATAGTTAGAGTTAATAGTAATTCATTGTTAATTTAATCCCGGGTTAAACACTCCAAGCACAGTTCTTCATATAGATCCTTGCTTTTTTATTTTTAGAAATGGAATTTCCCGTTTCTCGCAAAACATTTTCATCATCAAGATTTCTCTAAATTCGTAAATACCGTGCATCCACCTTTAACAAACTATGACGCGTGGTGACAAAAAATCGGGTGTTTTCTTCCGGGTCTATGTGCATAAACTTCACGCACCTTTATTTTTCTTCTTTCTAGATAGAAGATTCAAGCTATAGCATTTGTTTATTCGTTTCTTTCATTTGAACTCCGTTCAATTGTTCGTTCTTTCAAGCTTTTCCCTTATGGAAATCGTTGCCTTGTGGTACATATTTTTTGAATTGATATGTCTCCAAGGCGAGGAGCATAAAAACACCGAAGTTGAGAGGAAAAAAAAACTCGCCACCGAATCAAGATGAATGCCAAAAAGAACAGAAAATTGACCGGTCGGGATGAATTTTTAAGAGTGCTCTACTGTTTCATGTGTAAACTCGTTGACAAAAATATGAATTGGTGTAAATCAGTAAGTTTTGCGAGTCCACTCTGGAATGAAATGATGTCAAAAGAACGCAGGAGTTATTACGAAACTC